GAGACATTAATAAAAAGATCAACTAAAAAGCAGGAGGACATAAGAAGAAAAAGAAGAAAGAGAGGAATCAGTTATGAGAAGGACCAGAATAAGAGAGCACAGAATGAAGAGAGAGCAGGCAAAAGATGTGCATAGGTGAAAGAGTGAAAGAAGAGAGGAGATGGGTGAACTTAAATATACAGGTTTCTTTCTGATTTAAAAAACAAAACAAAAAGAAGTGCTGGAATCCCAAAAGTAGAATACAAGCAGAACTGCCAATGGTCTGGTGCCAAGGCCACTAACCATGGTCTATAATTAAAAGCAGGGATGGTGTAGACCTGTGATGCATGGTCCAGCAACTCTGGTGTCAACTGATAGCTCGATAGAAATGCAAAATATGGAGCCCCAGGCCAGGTTTACTGAATTAGAATATGCATTTTCACAAAATCTCCAGATGATTTCAATATATGATAAAAATCAGAGAAGCACTGATGTAGATATTTAAAATCCACAGATAACTCTGCATTTCACTCTAATCAATGGCATGGTGTACAAAGCACTGGCACTAAGAAGTTATACAACCTTAGGAAAATCACTTAATGTCCCTGGATCTCAGTTTCTTTATTAAATGAGAAGTTCAGAGTAGATGATTTCTAAAGTGTCACATAGCTCTGATATTCTTGATCTCATCTAACAGCATAACTTTAACCCTTCCTAAACCCAAAAGAACAAACAGGTAGCATCGTCAACTAATTAATATCTCACTTCCTTTCTCCGTTCATTTATTTAACATTTTCTGAGAATCTATTATGTGCTAGTCACTACGCTAAGTACAAATGATTCTAAGATGAATAAAACATCTCTCCCTGCCCTTGAGGAGTTCACAAAATTCTTAGGGAAACAGGGCGTATAAACAAAATCAGGATAAACTAAGACGCATGAGCACATGTTGGTGAAGACCAGAAAGGAAGGTAATTCCACAGCCTGTGGCAGCCATGGAGAGTTTCAGCAAGGGGACAACGTAGACGTGCATGAGGTCCCTTCTCTGCCAACCTCTGCTGAAAGTGCTAAGAAGTGAAAAGACCAAAAATAAGGTGGAGAACATCAAGAAAACAACCAAAGGTTCATAAACACACCTTGCTGGGTTCACAATCCCCCAAAAGGTTCACAGCACAATGGATTCTGTGTAATGGCCACAGGCACCATTAACAGCCGCAGGTGAACCTCAGAAACCCACCTTCTCTGAGCTCTGCCTGCTCTTTCATCCTGACTACATTCTGTTCCAGCTTTGACCTCCTTCTGGAAGATAATATCAATTCAACCACTAATCTACTGTCCCTGGAGACTTCTTCTTGTGGTTGCAAAGAGGAGATGCACTTTAATAAATGCAAACAATTCATTAGACCAGTAACTTTTTGATCTATATTTATTTACAGTGAGAGACAATACTGGTATCCAGTCATGTGCACAGGAGCAGTGACTGAAAATGTAGTTTACTGAAAGGAAGAAATTTCTAGAATTCCTAAGGATGGGATAGAATGGCACTGAGGAAGAGGAGGAGCTTCGTTTTTCCAGCTCAGCCACTTTTGACTCCAACAAAATACACAAGATGAGTGCTTTTGTCGGCCCCAGTCCTCAATATTAAATACACAAGACTATCCTTTGGAAGAATAGTTTTCCCACCTTTAGAATGGGAAGTCCAACCCTGGCTTTTTTCTCTTCCCTAGCTTCTGCATGCTGATTTGGGATTATGATTTCTTCCCATACAATTTGTCCTTTTACCTGTCTCCTTTTATAGTCCCTCAATATTATTTATAGCCCATAAATATTAACAATTTTTTTTACCTTAACCTGTTAGTAGTATATATGTCACCTTCATTTTCAGATTCTTAAACAAGAATATAGAAAAAAAAATCCTGTCGCCAGGGTTTATTGTATTCATGGGAAACTGAAAGAATATTTTACAAGGTAATACTGTGGCCAAGGAATGGATCAGCTCAGTCCTGTTTCTCCCAAACATGCCTCATTCCACCAGCCAATTTCAGTCCATTTGCCCACCTCCCAGGTACCCCCTGCCTCTCCCCACACAAGGCTGGGTGCATGTACATGAAGGTCAAGGAAGACGGTCAAGATTCCAAAGCTATCTTTCTGGAGATAAACCAAGAACACAAAATCAAGGTTCCTGCTGTTCATCCCTTCTCCAGAGGAAGTCGCTCTTCTCAATCAGACTTAAAGAAAAGCACTTGGTGCGCAAAGTATTGAATAGAGGATTTTTTCTCTTTCCCCTCCTTTCCTGTCATTTTGCCTTCTTATTGATTCTCTCTGCCTGCGTCCATCCCTGGCAAAAAATGCATATATACGTTAGCAAAGCAAGGATCTTCAGACAGACAGGCTTCCTAGGGATGGAACCAATGGGAGAGGAAAAATTACATGTAACACCTAACTCTAAACTGCCACATCACTCTGTGTTCACAGATCCGCCATGCTCTGCCACACCTGAAACAGACATAGAAGATAACCATGTTGTTCTGCTTCTCTTGAAATCACCCACCTAATGTCCTTAACTGTGTCCTGGGAAGTCTTCATTTCCCATTATTATTATTTTTCTTAATTGCACATCAAGGAGGCTCCTCGATTGAAATTAAATTTGCTCTTCCTCCCACCAGCAGCCACCTTTCTTTCCCATGTCACCCACACTGTAAGGGGGGTGGCAGAAGGAGAAAAGACAAAATAGAACCCAGTCAGCTCTGTGCTGTGAGGGGAAAAAAGGGGGCGAGAACAATGCCCCTGAGATGGCTCAGAGCACCACTGAGTCACAGCCTCACAGAGACTGCCCGCGAGGATGGGGAACACCTGCTTCCTCATCAGGGTCTCCAAAATGGCTTTGGATGGTGAAAAGACACAGACCACCTGTGGTGATTCCTCCTTGAATCTTAACAAGCCCTTTCCAATTGGATTACCTCTCCCTTCCCTTTATAGCTTCCCCACCCACTTTTTCCTCTCTTCCTCAACTCCCTCCCCTTTCCACCTCGCCTAGTCTTGGGGACAACTAATGATAGTCTGGAACCTGGCTTCATCCACTGGCATTCAAGAGAAATGAGGTAGCTGAGATCCTGTCAAACAGCATCCTTATCAACCCCATCACCAACAAACAAACATTCCAAACGACCTACTGGGTGTAGAGTACTGGTATTGTGGCACTGGGGATGCAAAAGGGGCCCTGTGCCCCATCAGTGCCCTCCTCTCCTTGTCCATTTGTATGTATGAAAGCATTGCACATGGAGCTGCCTTTCTCACCCATACGTCTTTTCTATTTTGAAGTCAAATTAAGAGTTCATCCTCCTACTTGGAGTGGAAGCAGATGGAGAATGAGCTCAGGTGTCTCTAAGGTGAGCACACGCCAGATAACCTCAGCTATTTGTAGACGTGGTGAGAACATGGTTCAAAGTGGGATCCCACCCTCTCACTCTGATTACACCATGGTTACAAAGTAGCATTTCAGCAGTAAAACTCAAAAGAATGAAACCCAGGGAAGGGGGATAGTGAATTTGGATTACATCTATCCTTTCTGGACAATGAAGAACTATCATCTACTGTCATGTTGAGCGACAAAGATCTTTCACCATTTCCCCACATCCCTTTGGTATTTTGGATTATCAAAAAATTGTTGTTTTAAAATGCCAGAAAAAAAAGTGTGTGTGTGTTCGGGGGGTGGTAATACTTTTAGGAAAAATAATGATGCTAATGATTCTGCTACATATTTTTGGAGATCTTTATCCCAACATGATTCCTGCATTTAGACACCTTCAGAGTTCAGGGATATATGGTCAGTGGAGCAAGGAAAGGAGCAGTCCACTCACCATCATGGCCCTACAACCCATGAATGATCTGATTTTCTCAAGAGTTGTCTTGGATTGCATGAGTGACTAGCTGAAGAGTCATTAGCTAAGTCTTTTCCATTTCTCCTGCTATTTTTCTTCTCAAGTACATTAAAATACTGCCTAATCACATTTCACATATTGTAAAAATTGATGAAAGGGAAAATATTAAAGTATTAATTCCATTTTTGAGGGTACAAGACTAACACATGCAAACAGCACATCTCTTTGTTTAACACAAAGACTCACGTGTCGAATTCTGCACCCCTTCCACATGCATAGCATTTTAGAACTCTGCAAGATAGCCATTTTGCAAGAGTGTGGAAGTAACAGTTTGCTTGGAGGATGTGTGGGTATAAATAGATGTGTAGACAGAAGGAGAAATTTACAGCTCAAAAATAATAGCACAGGAAAAAATACAAATTAAAAGCAGAATATTGACAGAATTCCTCCTTTCCGAGCTTAAGATTTAAGTCCTTTAACCTGCAGCATCCTTCAAGTCCAGCTGTTCTTGGACCAGCCTGATCCCCACCTAGACCTACCCCTCTGCAATAGGCCTCCCGGGATCTCTGGGCCCAGTGTCAACCCTTTAGACAGCAAGTGGATTTCAGGGCAACAATCACAGTAATCTCAATCATTATTTTTATCTGTTTTAAAGGGCATAGAAAGGATGACTAGGAAGGTAAAGACAGGAGACAGGGAGAGAGGCATGAAGGTGACAAGGGGAATAAAGCCAACCTGAAAAAAAAAAAAAAAGAAGATTTCTAGATTCCCATAAAAATCGGAGCTTTAGCTCTGGGTGAATAAAATGCTATTTAACTGGAAAATCACACAGGTCTCCTGGCTGGCTATGTCGATATAGATATAGATATAGATACCCCTGATGCCATCCAACATCTTTTGTGCCTGCATACACCCATCCCCACTGCCCCCCAAAAGCCCAAAACCTGTTTGATGAGAGAATAAAAAGAAAAAACATGGGAGATTTCCTCCTTTGTAATAAGCCTTTTCCCCAAAACAGCATTATTTTCATATCTTGTGACCTTTTCTTCCAAAAAGATCCACTTGAGGGACTCGAAGAGATAGATAAAAGGAGGAATCCCTACCCCAGGTGAGGAAAAAATAAAATAGAATTTGCCCTACCTTGGTTTGTAGAAGCCAAACCTCTAGACGGACAGATTAAGGGAGTGAGCATGTTGGGAATGTCCAGTCCCTTCTTCTCGCTTGCATATCCACATAAGAAAGACGAAGGATAAATGAACGGAAGATAATTTAAAATCCAATTTAGCGTCAATTTTGTTTTAATCTTGTGTCTTGAAGAGATGCAAATTCAAAAAAAAGATTTAATTCAAAGGTAATTCAGGGTATGGAGAGCAGCTCACAATGCAGAATCCAGAGTAATTATTCCGTGTGCATGTGAGGTTAGTGGCTGGAATAGATTTTTAACGCTTCTTCTGGCAATTACGGTTTTTGGTTTTTGGAGCGTTAGTGGAGGAGGCTCTGTGTGGAGAAGCTGGGGGCCGGCTCCGTCCCTCGGTGGAGCATGGTCATTCCCAAAGCGTCCCCTTCCTAAGGGGGAAAAAGAGGCGGTCAGGGCTTGATTCGGGTGTCCCCCGGAGGGTGAGAAAAATGCATTCCGAAAAAGATATCAATTCGTTTTATGGAAAGAGGGGAGGAAACCCCGCATTTCCCACAGAGTGCACACGAGAGGGATTGAAAACAGCTGGTACCGGTCTATAAATAATTCAGAAAAGGTCTGGCTATACCATTCCTGGGACAGGCATGGATGAGAGGTGGGAAAGCTAACCTGAATGGAAGAGGAGAGAGGGAGGGAGCGAGCGAAGGAGGGAAGTGGGAAGGAAGGAGGAAGGGAGGGAGAAGCGGCACCATACAGCAACACACACTCACACACACGCAGAAACACAATTCCCACTTAACTCGCCAGCGAGTGCGGCCCCCAGCCCCATCTGCATTGCTGCTGACATGTCTGTCTCGCTCTCTCCATCGCCTCCAGCAGCAGCGCTGCCTCCCACCCCGGGCTTGTGCTGAATGGGTTCTGATTGTGCACGGGGTGCACACTGGGCATTTCTTGGAAGGGGCACACTGACACGCGCGCACACACGCCCCCGACGCGCACGCGCCCCGCGCGCACTCACACTCACCCCCGCGCACACTCACCCCCGCGCACACTCACGCTGCCGCCGCGCTGAGGTGCAGCGCACGGGGCTTCACCTGCAACGTGTCGATTGGACGGATGGGCGCGTGGGTCCAGCTCGGGGCGCCGCTGCCCTGCCTCTCTGCTAGGTGAGGGGATGAAACCCCCCAAAAGACCAGAGACAGCCCTACCCAGTCACAGCACCCCCTCCCCCACCAAAAAAAAAAAAAAAAAAAAAAAAAAAACCCTTAAAAAAAGCCACGTCCAAATTAGTAAGTGCCGGGTTCTGCTGGATTTCAGAGCTTTACCTCATGCCAGGTTGGTTCACGGTTTCACAGCTTCGACCCTTTATCTGCCTGACACCCCCAAACCCCTACACTGGAAGGAGAGACTCCAAAGCCAATCTTTACGTACCGGCTCCGAGCGCCTCCGCGGTTGCAGTCTCCGGAGAGGGGTGGCCGGTGGCTGGGAATGGAGGGTTTTCCTTTCCTGCAAAGCAGGATTAATGATCCGTCTCGGGGGTTTTGAAGTTCACGACTCTTCTTTGCAAGGCAAAAGGATATGCATTCGGACGCCAGCACTTCTGGATGGTGGTGATCAAGAATCACCCTGACGAGCACTCTCGATAGAGCGAAGCCCCGAGATTTCCTAGAGGTGAAGAAGCCGGAGGAAGTGGTTTTTGAAAGGGGGTGGGGGGAACCTTCCTTTCTCAAAAAGAGGTTGGGGGCGGGGGAGAGGCAGGAGCCCAGATTCCAGTTGGTGAGGATCGGAGCCGGGGGAAGGGAAGCGGGCGGGGGCAGGCTGTGCAAGTCAACCGCGCGGCAGCCGGAGAGGGAGAGCAGGAGGGGAGGAGGGGAGCGTCAGAAAAATGGGTATTAATCACCGGGGACGGGGGGAGGCGCGGGGAGCGCGGGTTGCCTGGTCTGGATTTGGGTCTCACACTCAAAAACGTGCCGCGCACACACACAGACACACACACCCCCCTACCTCTCACACCCTAACTCCGGTGGGAGGAGAAACCCACGAAGCTGGGGAAGATGCTGCTTCTGCTCCCAGGGGCGGGTGTGAGCGCGCGTGTCCTTTCTCCACACCCCCCACCCCACCCCTGTCTCTTATACACATCTAGATGTGTATAAGAGACAGCCCCCAAGCCCCTGCACCCCCTCACTCCTCTTGCTAAGACTCTGAAGGAGGCAGCTTCCCACGTCATGTGCTGGGGAAGTGGGGTAGGAAGGGGGACGAAACGGGGAAGAAGCTTAGCTCGAGTCCGTGGCGCCTCCTCCCGGCCGCAGCGGGGAACAGCACCAAGGGAGAGCGGCTCAGGGGCGAGGGGAGCTAGACAGTGCCCTCCGTGGGCGGCCGCGCGGGCTGCGGAAAGCGTCTTTAAGGGGGAGCTGTAGTTCGAAATCGAAGACCCTTTTATTTTCCATAAATCAGCCTGTGCTTCCTACGAGCATTCTGCGTGTCAGACGCAGTCTGGGGCCGGGTTCTTTCTTGCCTTCAAGGAGCTTAAGATCTATTCTGAGCACAGGAGGCTGACGCCTAACGCAATAGAAAACAAAGCAAAGCAGGTGTCATTCGTGGCTAAATTGTATAGTATAGACCATACGCGTGCTTTTCTGGCTGCTAGTGAAGGCGTGAGGGGTTTGACGTTTTTTATTAAAGTGGATCCTGTTATTTAAATGCCTTGAGAAGAGAAGATGATGAGACCAGTGAATAATCCCTAAAGGAAACTGGATTTCCTGGCATTTACAAACCCACCCTCTTTGAAAAGGCAAACATCCATTCATTTCTCTTCCTCTTGAACTCTTCTATATTTTAATAGCCTTTATCACCACCTGTAGTACTGTTTACTTTTAACATTAATATTATTGTTTATGCATCATTTTCATTCTCATCCATTGTCTTTTCAAATATCTAGAATATTACAGTGGTGGAACATTTTCATATTGATTGTATCATGGGCTTCTCACCAGCATTCCTGAGAAGTGGCCATACAAACGCACAGGAGAGAAGGTTGTGTGAAATGGATACTAGTGGCTTGGAACTTTAGTCTGTAGAAGACATCAGATATGTTTTTGCTGTCCTGTAGACCAGACTACTCATACTTCTGAACTACAGTAATTCTTCTGTGTTGCCTGGTTTTTCTCGGGCTTAATTTTTGAACCTAACATATTTAACACACACAAACACATAAGCATTGTGTGAAAACACAAATAGAGTGTGTTCACATGCAAATTATTCCTTCTCAGTAATGGTTTTCTATTTTTCTAAGAGTTAGAGCTGATCTTTCACTACTTTGGGGAAGTGTAAAAGCACCCCAGAGTTGCTGTGCCCTCTTGGTACACAACAGCCAACCCAAGCCCCTCTAATAATTTGTATCCAGGGCTTTGAAATTCACCTGCCTATGGGCAGGTTTGCAGTTGTTACAACACCGATTCCAGGAGTATAGAATGCGGAAAGCAAGAAACTAATAGAGATTTCCTGAAACACTCTTCCCTGAATTGTCCAGCAAAATTACCATTACCTGGTCCATTACCTTCAGAACAACATCCAAGCTCACTTGAGGATCTTCATGGGTTGACCTTGAATCTACTTTTTAAATTTTTATTTTTTTAAATTTCTGGTTCATAACCCAAGACCTTCCCCTTCCTATCCCCAATCCCTTCACCAAAATTATACTATTATTCTCTACTTTCTTTCCTTTTCCTCCCTACCTGAACCCTGTTGCAATTCCATTCTACCCTGTTCACTTTTCCAAGGGTAGAGGGAAAAATGAACGCTCATACTTCCTCCACCTAATTGAGTCCACACTCCTCTTCAGTTTCTAGCTCAAGTCCCACCTCCTCTGGGGATATTTTTCAGTCAACCAAGCCTGAACTGATTTCTGTAAAAATTGCAAGGATCTTAAAATGAGAGATGACACGATTTTAAAATGAGAGATGACACATCACTACCATCCCCTCCACTCTCATTTTCTGTATTCAGCAATGTATGGAAGAGTTTGCTTGATCAGTTATCAGACTGACTGGGTGATAACTTCTTGCATTCATTAACCAGGTACCGGCCCACTAAAGGGAAAAATATTACCTCTGTAGCTATTCACGTTGAACCATGTGCAACTATTGATATTCAATCACATGAAATTGCCAATCATATGAAATAACCATTATTGACATATAATAAAAAGGCAATTTCATAAAGTTAAACTTAAAATTGTATTCTGGTGTCAATTTCCTGTCTTCCTAACTAGTTGTTTAGCTCCCTAATGGGATAGACCACAACCTAAATCATCCATATATTCCCAGTACCTGGCTCAACTCCAGACATGCAGTAGAGGTTCAATAAATATTTTTTATAACTATTTGAAGCCACTTTATCAAGCAGTTTTTCTGGTTCTGAAATAGCTAATTCTAGGGACCACACAGATTATGAAGTGGAAAGTAATATCCCTTTTCCCATGGTATTCACTGTCCATTGACTATTCAATGGAACCAAGACTCATCTCCTTTTTTTCTGGCTCCTTGTCACTCACTTGCTCTTCTCACCAATAACCTTTGCCTTCATGGACCATAAGCCTATCAATAAAACTATTTCAGCCAGGCATGGTGGCTCATGCCCATAATCCCAGCACTTTGGGAGGCCAAGGTGGGCGGATCACCTGAGGTCGGCAGTTAAAGACCAGCCTGACCAACATGGAGAAACTCCATCTCTACTAAAAATACAGAATTAGCCAGGCGTGGTGGCACATGCCTGTAATCCCAGCTACTTGGGAGGCTGAGGCAAGAGAATCGCTTGAACCCCGGAGGCTGAGGCTGCAGTGAGCCGAGATCATGCCATTGCACTCCAACAAGAGCAAAACTCCATCTCAAAATAAAATAAAATAAAATAAAACTATTTCAAGGACCACCGAGATTCGTGAAATTTGAAACACCATTTCTTAATGTCACAAATATATATTTCCTAACTCCTAGTTCAGCAACACAGAAAACAATATTCTAATGAGACAAGATGTTGCATCGTATTTCACAGCATTGCTTATTGAGGAGAAGCT